CTATCTACACTAATCCTATTTTCCAACACTTGGCCCAGAACCTTGAATTTGATGACATTTCAAGTGCTCATTCATGTACTTTTATAAAAGTTGTGAGGTTTCCTGTCTCTACGGCCCTCCCAGGCAGTGCGTACCAGATTCCATCACTCTCTGAGTGAAAAACTTTTCCTCAAATCCCGTTAAACCTCCTGCCTTTCACCAGAAATTATGCCCCTTTGTTATTGACTCTTCAACTAAAGAGAGCAGCACCTTTTTATTCACCCTGTCCATGCCCCTCATAATCTTATACATCTTTATATGGCTCCCCACTCAGATGTCTCTGCTCCAAACAACCAAAGTCTATCCAGCCCCTCTTCGTAGCTAAACCGCTCCATTCCAGGCAACATCCTGGTGAATGCTATATTTGGACAAAGGAGGATTCAAGTACAGAATTCAAGAAGATGGACTGTGATGTACTGGAAGAGATTGATGTAAGAATTGAGGAGGCATTAGAGGTTTTGGGGGATTTAAAAGCAAACAGGTCTGGATGAGCTGTATCCCAGGCTGCTGTGGGAGATGGGGAGGAAATGACAGGAGTTCTGACCCACATTTTGAAATCATCTCTGGCTGCAGGGGAGGTCCCAGAGGACTGGAGGACAGCTAATGTGGTCTCACTTTACAAGAAGGGTGGTAGAGATGAATCAAGGAACTGTAGACAAGTGAGTCTTGCATCAGTGGTGAAAGTAGTGAAGGAGAAAATTAATCTCCATTTAGAGAGGCAAGGTTTGATCAATGATCATCAGCGTAGCTTTGTCAGAGGGAGGTCACGTCTAACAAATCTAGTGGAATTTTTCGAGGAGATGACCGGGTGTTTGAATGAGGGTAGTGCAGATGAGGCTAGTGATGTAGTTTATATGGATTTCATCAAGGCCTGTGACACAGGCTAACACGGAAAAGTGATAAAACGGGTGACAGTTGACAGAGGATGGTGGTAAAAGGCTGTTTGTGTGACTGGAGCCCAGTGTGCAGCCGTGTACCACAAGGATCCATGCTGGGTCCCTTATTGTTTGTGATATTCATAAATGATGTAGATGAGAATGGGGGGGCTGGGGTGGGAAATGGTAATTAAGTTTGGCCAGGTGGCTGACAGTGAGGGGAATGGTGTTAGGTTATAGGAGGATATAAACGGTTTGATCAGGCGAGCAGATCAGTGGTAGATGGAATTTAACCCTGAAAAATGAGAGCTGATATACTTTGGAAGAAGGAACACGATAGGAGAATACTCACTGAGGAAGCTCAGAGGAACAGAGGGATCTAGGGCTGCTTGTCCACAGATCCCTGAAGGTGGCACAACAGGTTAATAGGGTAGTTAAAATGCATACGGAACTTCTGCTTTTATCAGTTGAGGCATAGACTGTAAGAGCAATGAGGTTATGTTGGAGCTGTACAGGACTTAGTTAGGCCACAGATGGTGTACCGTGTGCAGTTTGGGTCACTGCACTAAAGGAAGGATGTGACTGCATTGGAGAGGGTGCAGAGGAGATTCACCAGGATGTTGCCTGGGACGGAACATCTTAGCTACAAAGAGAGACTGGATAATCTTAGGTTGTTTTCTTTGAAGCAGAGAAGGTTGAAGGGGGCCTTGATAGAGGTGTTTAACATTATCAAGAGCATGGAAAGGGTGAACAGAAAGCAGCTGCTGTTTTCAGTTGAAGGATCAATAAGAAGAGGGCATAATTTTAAAGTGGAAGGCAGCAGGTTTAGAGGGGATTTGAGGAAATAAATTTTCATCCAAAGGGTGGTAGGAATCCGGAATGTACTGCCTGGGAGTATAGCTGAGGAAGGAAATCTCTCAATCTTTGAAAGTACTTAGCTGAGCACTTGAAGTGTCATAACATTCAAGGCTGTAGGCCTAGTGTGGGAAATTGGGACCAGTGTAGGTAGTAGTATATTTTTGGTGATACAGACTGGATGGGCTGAAGGGCCTCTTCTGTACTGTATGATTCTATGATTCATGGATCTACTCTGCAACCCCTCTAATGCCATTGAATCCTTCCTATAACGTGACAATCAGAACTGCACACAGTATTCCAACTGTGGCCTAACAAAGTTTTGGACAGTTCCAACATAACCTCCCTGCTCTTATAATCTATGCCATGACTGATAAAGGCAAATGTTCTTTGTGCCTTCTAACTATCCTATTAACCTGCCCTGCCACCTTCAGGGATCTGTAAACGAGCACCCTAAGATCCCTCAGTTCCTCAGGGCTTCCTACTCCCTTGTGTCTCATAGTCAAGAGTTATGAGGAAATGGCAAGAAAATGGACACGAGGAATGTCGGATCAGCCATCATCATATTGAATGGTCGAGTGTGCTTGAGGACTTTCTCATGTTCCTGTAGACTTTCTTCCTCACTTTTAACCATCTTTTGTGTCATCTGCAAACTTACTTGTCATCCCCCCCAGTATTCTCATTGTTTTACTTATATATATATCACCAACAGTATGAGACCCAGTGCTGATCTTTGTGGTACTCTAATGGGCACTGTCCTCCAGTCACACAAACAGCCTTCTACCGCCACCCTCTGTCTCTTACCACTCAGCCAATTTTTGATCCAACTCACAAAGTCATGCTGGATCCCAGGAGTATTTACCTTCCATATGGTATCTTGCCAAAGGCTTTGCCGAAATCTATATAAACTACATCAACTGCATTACTCTCAGCAACACACCTGATCATCTCCTCAAAGATTTCTGTCAAATTTCTTAGGCATGACCTCCCTCTGATAAAACCATGCTGACTATCCCTGATCAAAATTTGCCTCTCAAAGTGGACATTAATTCCCTCCTTCAGAATTTTCTTCAACATTTTCCCCACCACTGATTTGAAACTCACTGGTCTGTAATTCCCTGGTTTATCTCTGCCACCCTTCTTGAAAAGTGGAACAACATTAGCTGTTGTCTAGTCCATTCGCAGCTTCCCTGTGACCAGAGAGGAATTAAAAATGGTCAGAGCCACTGTAATTTCCTCCTTATCTCTCAGAGCACCCTGGGATAAAACACATCCAAGTCTAGGCATTTATCCAGTTTTAAGCCTGCCAAAACCTCTAATACCTCCTCACTCCCCATGTCAATCTGCTTAAAAACCTCCCAGACCTTCTTCTTGAATTCTGTACCTATGCCACCTTTCTTGTGAGTGAAGTGCTCTTTTAACACCCTACCAGTTTTCTCTGGCTTCATGCTCAAATTGCCTCTGTGGTCCCTAATATGTTCTACTCTCTACCTGGTTATCCTCTTTCCCTTAATATATTTATAGAATATCTTGAGATACCCAAATTTCACCCATCAGTGTTTTCTCATGACCTGTATTCCAATTACATACCATGCTATTTGATTACATTTTGTTAGAATTTGTCTCAGAATTCCCCATGAACAGGAATTACTTTGATGACAGACCCAAAAACCAGGAATCTGTGGTGTAGAATTAATATAGATGTGCATCTCAGTTTACTGCATTTTATACAAAATGCATTGAATGAGGTTATTCCTGTTTATAATAACATGTTGCAAATAAATGTAACCTTCCATAAATCAATGATTTCAAATTATTTTAGGAGGGACAAGGTATTTGAAAGCCACTTTTAAAGCAAATCATTATATGTGACGGAATGGAACTGAATGCATTTGCAGGAAGTAGTAGATGAAATGTGCAAATTGTGACGGGTCTTTTTGGGGGGCTATTGATCACAAGGTCTAGCAGGTTTTCCTGCCCTACCTTACCCAACTCAACTCATGAATTACCTTGTCTCTATTCCGTGATGTCTTTCATGTTTGATTTCCGCCCAGCATACCGTGCATTGTTCTTGGAACAACTCACCATTTTGCAGATATCTGCTGAGAAACTGGCTTCCCTCGCGCCCGTG